TTGAGCCACAGCTCTACTTCTGGTCTTTTGGTGATTGACTGGAGATAAGAGTCTCATGGACTTTTCTTGCCTGGGCTGGCTTCAAATCATGTTCCTCACATCTCAGCTTCCTGAATAGCAGGAATTACAGGGATAAGCCACTGTTGTTAATTTTATTTTATTTATTTATTTATTTTTTGTCGGTCGTGGGGCTTGAACTCTGGGCCTGGGCGCTGTCCCTCAGCTCTTCAGCTCAAGGCGAGCGCTCTACCACTTGAGCTACAGCGCCACTTCTGGTTTTCTGGTGGTTTATTGGAGATAGGAGTCTCACAGTCTTTCCTGCCCAGGCTGGCTTTGAACCTCGATCCTCAGATCTCAGCCTCCTGAGTAGCTAGGGTGACAGGCGTGAGCCACCAGCGCCCGGCTTACTGTTGTTAATTTTAAACCATGACTGGGCTTTAGCTTTTGTCAAATATGCCTTCTGAGTCAACAGACATTACTGTGTAGCTTTTCTTCTTAGGACTGTTAATATGATGGGTTACATTAATTGATCTTCATATATTGAACCAGCTTGGAATTCTTGGGATAAATTCCACTTGGTGGAAGATTTTTCTGCCAGTGTTTATGAGAGATATTGTTGTATAGTTTTGCTGTTTTTTTTTTTTTTAATGTGTGTGCTGTCTTTGGTATTGTTATAATGGTATTTATTCATTTCATTTTATTTTTATTTATTTATTCTTTTGGGTCCGGTCATGGGGCCTGAACTCTGGGCCTGGGCGCTGTCCCTCAGCTCTTCAGCTCAAGACGAGCGCTCTACCACTTGAGCCACAGCGCCACTTCCGGCTTTTTTCTTTTTGCTTATGTGGTGCTGAGGAATCGAACCCAGGGCCTTGAGCATGCAAGGCAAGCGCTCTACCACTGAGCCACCTTCCCAGCCCTCATTTCATTTTATGAGGTGAAAAATGTTTATGTACAAAAATTCTTTTGTAGGAAGTTGTGTAGAATGGGTGTCATTTCTTCTAGGTTTGGACCAAGAGATTTCTTCTTGTTTCATGTGTGTACCTTGTGTTCACACCATTTATGTCTGCCCCATGGACATATCTTGTGAAATACTAGGCAAGTGCTCTACCACTGAATCAGCCCTTAGTTTTCTCTTTGTTCCCCCTCCCGCCTTTTTTTCTCTCTACTGGATCTTGCTATGCAGCTTAAGTTGGTCTTGAATATGTCAGAATAGCCTAGCTGGCCTTAAAATGCCTTGCTCCTGTCTGCAGAGTACTGGGATTAAAGATATGCGCTACCAGGTCTAGCTCTACTACAGAACTTTTTACAGAAGAAACAAGAGAAAATATACAGGAGAGCCTCTTTAGGTCTATGCAGAGGTTTTGGATAATACCCAAAGCACTAGCTGAAGAAATAAAACCTGATAAAAAGCTTTTGCTCTATGAAGGGTTTTGTGAGGAGGAAGACAAGACATGCTACAGGGGGAAAGAAGTATTTGCAAGTCACATAGCCAACAAAGGACTAGTAAGCAGGATATAGACTTCTTATAATGTAACAGCTAGAAAGATCAAAACAACAACCCTACCACAAAACAATGCAACTAGAAAATAAGCAAAATATGTAGACAGACATTTCACTGAGATGTACACAAATTATTAGCCGTTAAAGAAATGCAAGGGACCTTACTCATGTAATTGTAACCCCTCGGTACAGTATTTTCACAATAAAAAAACTTATTAATAAAAAAAAGACATGCAAGTGACAACCACAATGAGATTACCACCAAACACCTACAGGATTGGCTAAAAACAAGTATAAAAATCATATATATATTTGGTGCTGGTCCTAGGGCTTGAATTCAGAGCCTGGGCCTGCCTGGCTCTGAACTTTTTTTGCTCTCCAGCTTGAGCCACAAAGCCACTTCCGGCTTTTTCTGAGTAGTTTGCTGGAGATAAAGAGCCTCATGGACTTTCTTGTGTAGGCTGGCTCTGAACTGTGATCCTTGGATCTCGGGCCTCCTGAGTAGCTAGGATGACAGGCGTAAGCCACCAACACCCAGTAGGATATCAAATATTGATTAGTGAATTACTAATGTACCGTCGATAATCAATATTTGATATTCCTACATAAAACAGTAACTCAAGGAAACTCTTTTCCTTTTGGTCCAACACAGGGACTCGAACTCGAACCTGCCACTTTTGCTTATTGGCTAGTGTTCTACCAACTGAGCCATGCCTCCAGCCCAAGGAAACTTTTGTAGTTTCTAGAGAAAGTAAACACAAGTATAATAAGACCTAGTACACAAGCTCTTGAGTATTTACTGTAGACAAATGAAAAACTATTCCTAAGAACTCTATATAAGAGCTTTATCAAGTTGCCAGTACTGAGACTTGAACTCAGGGCCTTGAGCTCTTGCCTGGATTTTTTCTCCTCAAAACTGGTGCTCTACCACTTAAGCCACACCTTCAACTTCTGTCTGGTACCTGGTTATATGGAGGTAAGAGTTTCACAGATTTGCATGTCTGGGCTCAGTCTCCTGAATAGCTTAAGAGGCATGAGCCATTGGCACCTGGCTTACAATCTCAATTGTACTAATAGATACACAAGCAAACACAGGTGGTAACAATGAATGAAACTCGTGTGTGTATCTATCTCTACATACAAGCTGGGGAAATAGCACGTTATATTGATGTCAATAACCATGTGACATCATACTATTATTTTGCAATTGACTACCATTGGGGAAACTAAGCAAAACTTCAGAGGAATTTCTGTATTATTCATTCAATCTATTTGATTTTCTTGCTTCCAAGCTGTGACTATTTTAGCTTCAGCCTTCCTTCTCCCTTTATTCTCACAAAGCCTAATCACCACTTAAATACCTTAAATTCAAAAATTAAAAAGCAGTAACCTTTGCACCTGGGGTCTGGTGCTGTTAGATGCTGATCTTGAAATAATTATGCTACTTCTGACCTAGTAGTTCAATTTCTTTTGTTCAGATTTTATTGCTGGTCTCTAGTTTTATTGCATCATTTTCTGAAAAGGTGGCAAGTATGATTTTTCTATTTTACACGCATTGATTGTATGTTTATCTGTTTACTTCCCAAGTGGACAGGAATTTGTCCTTTGCTCTTCCTTCCTTCCCCAATACTGGGGTTTGAACTCAAGGCCTAGGTGTACTCTTGAGGTTTTGTGTTCAAGGCAAGTGCTCTACCACTTGGGCCACAGCTCCACTTCTGGCTTTTTGTTGGTTCACTGGAGATGAAGAGTCTCATAGACTTTTCTGCCCAGGCTGGCTTCCAGTGATGAGCTTTAGATCTCAGCCTCCTGAGTAGCTAGGATTACAGGTGTGCACTTACTGGTGGCTAGCTTCCATGAAGGAGTTTTGTATGACATTCATCCCAGAGATCACCTATCACCATACCTGGGAACCAAAAGGAAATAGTTCACAGAGGAGACTTTCAGGCCTGAGCACATTCTGGAAAGTTGAACTGGGGAAACAGATACCAGCACCCTTCTCAAAGGAGTATTTGCATAGAAGTGGGGTGTTTTCCTTAAAACTATTAAGGTCTATACACATAACATCAGCTTGATTACTCGTGTGTGTGTGTGTGTGTGTGTGTGTGTGTGTGTGTGTGTGTGTCCTGCGGTTTGAACTCAGAGCCTCAACTCTCTCCCTTGACTTTTTCCATTCAAGGCTGGAGCTTTACTACTTGAGCCACACCTCCACTCCTGCCCTGTTTTTTTTGTTTTGCTGGTTAACTGGAGATAAGAGTTTCAAGGACTTTTCTGCCTGGGCTAGCTTCCAACCACCACCTGGTCCTCAGAACTCATCTTCCTGAGTAGTTAGGATTACAGACATGAGCCATCAGGGCCTGGTTTAGCTTAATTATTCTTCTATTTCTGGGATGTGGCTTTGAGAGACTGGGGTTGCAGGAAGTTTTCTGCTATTGCTTTTTTTTGGTTTTTTAAAATGGGGACAGCTTCCCACCTCCCACCCTTCTGAGAGGACACTCAATTACTACTTGTTGAATATATCACCTTGGATGACAGGGAACGGCCATGGATGTGTTCTGTATTACGTTAGGGGTCCCTAACACACCGCTAGACCATAGGCAGGGGGTGTCATTAAATATCTGTGGAGAATTCTGGAAAAGACCAGGATAGCACGGCTATCTGATTCACCCATTCAGATACAAGGACAAAAAGATGCAGGGGCCTGAGGGGAGAAAGAGAAGAGTGCAGGTCTGTCTCCTCCTCCTCCACCCCCCCCACACCCCGCCACCCCCCTCCATTCGGGGGAGGGGGGGACCCCACTTCCTCAGGGCCTGGTTACCAGAGGAGGGGCAAAGCGACAGAAATCGCCCTCCTTTGCTCTCCACGATCGATTCCCCAGGCTGGGCAAGAGGCCCAGGCTCAGGGCCCGCGCTTCCTGGCGTTTGCTGCAGCCCGAGCCGGCGGGGGGGGGGGGGGGGTGGTGGTGATGGTGGGGGGGGGCATGGGGGGGGGGCTCCAGTTACCTCCCCCCTTCCCCCCCCCCCTCCCCGTCACATCTGCGCCCACCACCGCGGCCAAACAATTAACGCGCCGTCCCCGCCGCCTGGACTTGAGGTCCGGGCGGCGGCGGGAGGCCCTGGCTGGGCTCCCAGGAGGCCCCCCCCGCCCCCCGATTCCTGCACCTCCGTCCTCCCGCCAAGGATCGGGGGGGGGGGGTCGGTGGGGGGGGGTCATCCAGCCCGGCCAGGCTCCCCCCCTCCTCCTCCCCACGCAGCCCCCCCCCACCCCCGGGAACGGCGTCCATGTGCTCGGCAGGGTGGGGACCCCCGCGGCCCCGCTGGGGGCGGGGCGCCCCCCCCCCCCCGCCCGCCCGCCCGCCGCGCTCCTCGAGGCCTCAGAGGCCGGCGAGGCGGGAAGCGGCGGCAACCGTGAGGCGCCGGAGGGCGGGGGGGGGGTGCGTGAGGGGGGGGCGCGGTGACCCCCCCCCCCGGCTCGCCCCGTCTCCTCCCCGCCCGGTCACTCACCACCGTGCGGCGGGGCAGCGCGCCCGGGGTCCGGGACAGGGCCCGGCGGAGCCTCCGTGCCCGGCCCGAGCGGGCGCTGCCCGAGCTCTCGGAACCGCTGTCGTCGGAAATCACGATGAAGTCTTCCATGGCTACCGGCTGCGGCGCCGAGCCCCGCGCGCGGCCGGGCGGGCGGCGGCCGCGACTTCGGTTCCTGCTGCTGAAGAGCAGCGGCGGCGGCGGCGGCAGCGGCGGCGGCGACCCGGACCATCAACCCGTAAGCCCCGCCCCCTCCCGGCGCCGGCCCCGCCCCCGACGGCCCGGCCACGCCTCCCCCATAGCCAGCAGCCCGCCAAGCCACGCCCCTCCCGGCCCCCTCTCGCCACGCCCCGGGCCACCAGACCACGCCCCTCCCTGGCCACGCCCACCGGCCGCGGGCAGCCAGGGGGTCAGGGCTGTAATCCTGTGGCTGAGGAGGTGCGTGTGCGTGTCTGTGCAGAGAGAGAAAAAGGAGGAAGGAGAGAGTGAGGAGAGAGGCCACCCAAGCTGCTGCGGCTCCTGCAGCTGTTTCCAACTGCTCAGTCTCTGTGTGCACTCTCCGGCCCAGTGGCTTTGAGGGACAGTGGGTCAGTCTGTCAAGGGTCCCCAAGGGTGGGTGACCCGGCCTCTGACCGGCCTCCCTGATGACATGCATGCTGCCCTGACTGCTGGGAGGGAGGGCAGAGGGTCCCTAACAGACAGTGGGTGATCCATGCTGTTTGGGGGGTGCAGGGTGGCTGGAAGAACTGAGGGAGGGTGGCATGAGCTCAGGGCCTGGCACTGTCCCTGAACCTCTTCGTGCTCAATGCTAGGGCTGCCATTCGAGCCCTGTCACCCTTTCTGAGTAGTTAAATGGAGATGAGAATCTCCTGCCCAGGCTGGCTTTGAACCGCCATCCTCCAATCTCAGCTTCCTGAGTAGCTAGGATGACAGGGGTGAGCCACCAGTACCTGACTACTTCCACTTTGTGTGTGTGTGTGTGTGTGTGTGTGTGTGTGTGTGTGCATACACGAGTGTGCGTGTGCCAGTACTGAGGCTTGAACTCAGGGCCTGGGTGTTGTCCCTTGGCCTTTGTTGCTCAAGGCTGGTGCACTACTACTTGAGCCATAGTTCCATTTCAGGGTTTTTTGTTTTTTTGTTTTTTTTTTGTCAGTTAATTGGAGATGAAGCATCTCATGGGTTTTCCTACCCCAGCTGGTTTTAAACTGTGATCTTCAGATCTCAGCCTCCAGAGTAGCTAGGATTATAGCTAGTCTGATCTACCCTCACTTTGTGTGTGTGTGTATGTGTGTGTGTGTGTGTGTGTGTGTGTGTGTGAGCATGTGCATGTGTGTGCATGTTTAAGAATATCTGTGGGATTCAACTCCTGAAAATGGAATTATTGGGGTTAACAGCTATGTTTTCCTTGTTGCTTTGATAAATGCTTACCAACGTACCACCCTTACGTTGTGCCAGTTTTCAGTTTCACCAACAAGCGATGTCTTTCAAGGATTTAAACTGGGACAGTTGCTCAGGCTCCAACAACTTACAAAAACATAGAGCCAAAGAAAATGCGTGCACCAAGAAGAGGATTTTGTTTCTAAAGGAATGGTTTCCAGGTGCTATTTAAACAAGCCTGGTACCTTGTTTTCTCATTAATGAGTAACCGAATCACCCAGAGGGCTTATTGAAAAAAAAAATCAAGGATTGCCAGCTGGGCGTGGTGGCTCATACTTGTAGCTACTTGAGAGCCTCAACTGAGCGTAGTGGCAGGGACCTGTCATCCCGGCCATTCTGAGAAGCACAAAATAGGAGGGTCACAGTCCTCCCTGGGCCTGGGTAACGAGTGAAATCTTATTTCAAAAGTAGCCAAAGCAAGCTGGGCGCCAGTGGCTCAGGCCTGTAATCCTAGCTACTCAGGAGGCTGAGATCTGAGGATCACGGTTCAAAGCCAGCTAGGGCAGGAAAGTCTGTGAGACTCTTATCTCCAATCAACCACTCAGAAAACCAGAAGTGGCGCTGTGGCTCAAGTAGTAGAGGACTAGCCTTGAGCTGAAGAGCCAAGAGACAGTGCCCAGGCCCAGAGTTCAAGCCCTATGACCAACAAAAAAAAATAGACAAAGCAGAAATAGGGCTGGAACTGTGGTCCAAGGTGCCACTCAGTGCTCTTGAGTTCAAACCCAAGCACTTTCAAAAACAATCACATGCCACATACCACTTTCTCTTTGAGTGGCTGAATTTGGGGGGCAGGGTTAAGCTTCCAAAATTTGCATTTTTTTTTTTTTTTGTCTGTCATGAGGCTTGAACTCTGGGCCTGGGCGCTGTCCCTCAGCTCTTCAGCTCAAGGCTAGCGCTCTACCACTTGAGCCACAGCACCACTTCCAGTTTTCTGGTGGTTCATTGGAGATAAGAGTCTCACGGACTTTTCTGCCTGGGATGGCTTTGAACTGTGATCCTCAGATCTCAGCCTCCTGAGTAGCTAGGATGACAGGCATGAGCTACAGGCACCTGGCTCTTTTTTTTTTTTTTTTTTTAACTTTGATATAAAGTCTCACTATGAAGCTCAGGTTGGCCTTAAACTGAAGATCCTGCTTTCCCCTCTTTGTATGGGATTTTAGGGACCACTGTGCCCCATCTCAATAGTTGTACATCTGATGCTGACATTGGTTACCACATCTTAAGAACTACTAGTCTGGTGGACACAGGCTTGTGGCTACATCTTAGATGTTTTGGTCCAGTGGGGAAATCATTGAGAAGAATATCATTAAGTGGAATTCACCTAATGCTGTCAAACATATAGTTTTCTGGGCCACCAGTGGCTCCTATCTGTCTGTCATCCTAGCTACTCAGGAGGCTGAGATCTGAGGACCGAGGTTGGAGGCTAACCTGGGCAGGAAGGTCTGTGAGACTTATCTCCAATTAACAGCAAAATGCCCAAAGTAAGCTGTGGAAAGAACCCACTCTCAGCTTTGTTTTCTTTTTGCGAAAGGCTGATGGCTCTACCACTTCAGCCACACTTTCACATCTAGCTTTTCACTGGTGAATTGATCATCAGTGTCCTGCAGATTTTTCTTCCCGAGCTGGCTTTGAATCTTGATTCTTAGATCTCAACCACCTGAGTGGCTAGGGTTATAGGTGTGAGCCACTTTCCTGCCCAGGCTGGCTTTGATCCTCAGATCTTAGCTGCCTGAGTAGCTAGGATGACAGGTATGAGCCACGGACACCTAGCTTCTCTTCTGCTTTCTGAGTTCATGCATTTACTGGGGCGGAAAGCTTGTAAAACACAATCCTGGTATTTGTGTGTTTGTGTCTGGCTGATTTCACGACTTATCCACGCCCTGTGTGGCCGTGTGGAATTCTCTACACACGAGAAAACCACAAAGAGCCTGGCTCTTTCTCTTCTTTTTATTTATTATTATTATTTTTTACTGTTATTATAAAGGTGATGTACAGAGGGGTTACAGTTCCGTCAGTCAGTTAAAGAGTACATCTCGTTTTGGACAATGACACCCCTATTCTTACTCGGTCTTTGTCTTTTTGTGTTGGGCCTTGAACCTAGGGTTTGAGAAGCTCAACTTGTGACTCATAACTATAAAACAGTTCTATTTTTTCTCATGGTAACAATGACCCCTGTCTCTAGAAATTATCTCGCTGTCTAGATAGCAGATTCCCTTCAGAACATCGTGTTCCAGCCCCATAACTTTGTAGACATTTTCGGTAATTAATAGTTTCATTCCAAGTATTGTAACTCAAAGTTACAATACTTGGAATACAAAGTTACAATGAGCCAGTGGCTCATGCCTATAACCCTAACTACTCAGGATGTTCAGATCTGAGGACTTCAGTGGAAGCCAGCTCAGGTAGGAAAGTCCGTGAGACTCTTATCTCCAGTGAACCAGCAAAAAGCCAGAAGTGGAGCTGTGGCTCAAGTAGTAGAGCACCAACCTTGAGTGAAAAAGCTAAGTGACAGCGCCCAGGTCTTGAGTTGGAGCCCTAATACTGGCATTAAAATAAGAAGCAAAAGAACCCCAACTCCCCCCAAAACCTAAAGTGAGCTGACTGAAGTATTTAGTCTCATATTTAATTCCTAGATTCTCTCATTCTACCAGGGTAGGTGAACTGTGCCTTCCACAATTCTCTGAAAGATAGGGTGGAAAATTGGGGGGGGGGTTCACCGATCCTTTAGTAGTGGTTTTCTCATTGTGTCAAGTATCTAGGTGTCCAGGTACTTCACTTTCTCACGTGTGGAGAATTCTACACCGCCCCACGGGGAGTGGGTAAGTTGTGAAATCAGCCAGACACAATCTCGCAAATACCAGAATTGCATTTTACAAGCTTCCCGACTGGGTAAATTCATGAACTCAGAAAACAGAAGAGGAGCTGGGTGTCTGTGGCTCACGCCTGTCATCCTAGCTGAGTAGCTAGGAGGCTGAGATCTGAGGATCGCAGTTCAAAGCCAGCCCAGGGCAGGAAAGTCCCTGAGACTCTTATCTCCAATGAACCACCAGAAAACTGGAAGTGGTGCTGTGGCTCAAGTGGTAGAGCGCTCGCCTTGAGCTGAAGAGCTCAGGGACAGCGCCCAGGCCCAGAGTTCAAACCCCACGACCAACAAAAAAAAAAAAAAGAAAACAGAGGAGAAATCAGCAGGGAATGGGGGAGGGAAGGAGAAAGGGTGCTTAATAAATACAGATATTTTTGTTCTTATGCTTCCTTATTCTTTTTAAAATGTTGTTAATATTAAGCTGTTGTATAGAGTTACCGTTTCAGACATACTGATTGTGTGTGTGTGTGTGTGTGTGTGTGTGTGTGTGTGTGTGTGTGTGTGTGTGCTGATCCTGGGGCTTGAACTCAGGGCCTGGGCACTGTCTCTGAGCTTCTTTTGCTCAAGGCTGGCACTCTACCGTTTGAGCCTCTGCTCCATTTCTGGCTTTTTGGTAATTCATTGGAGATAAGAGTCTCATAGACTTTCCTGCCCAGGCTGGCTTCGAACCGTGATCCTCAGATCTCAGCCTCCTGAGTAGGTAGTATTACAGGTGTGAGACACTTTTCCCCTCCCTCCCTCCCTCCTTTCTTTCTTTTTTTCTTTTTCTTTTCTTTCTTCCTTTCTTTTCTTCCCTTCTTCCTTTCTTCCT